CCTAGCTAGGTAAAACTTAGTTACATACTTATTTTATTTATTACTTATTTAGAAAGGTATAAAAGAGATATAATAAGTAGGCTTCTAAAGTAGCCTTTTTAAAAAGGTAAGTTAAATTATTATAAGCTTAGTTAGATAATATATAGTTATATAAAAAGAAAAAGATCTACTTATTAATTAATAATATCTTTATTACTATAATAAATATAATATAGGTATAAAGTCTAGATACTAATAATATAAGTAGTCTAAATAAATCTAAGGTATCTAAATTACCTAGTAAGGCTAAAAGTTATATATAGGTAGGTAGTAGAGATAGTAAAATAAGTAGTAATAGTAGTAGTAATAATAGTAATAATAATGTCTTAGATATAGGGATGTCTTATAAGTAGGGTAAGGGAGGTACTAATTGTCTAGCTAATTAGGCTCTTCTTAACGCCTTACCGCTTTAAGGTAAGACCCCACCTTATAACTCAGGCCACCTATAAAGACAGGCCACCCTAAAATGCCTTATTTTTACCACATAATACTCTATTACTAATTAATAGAGAAAGCCTATATAAATCTAAATTAATTAATATAACTTATAAAACTACTACTATTACTGCCTCTATTACTTCCTCTACCTCTACTGCTGCTGCTGTATCTACTACTTCTTTTACTGCCTCTGCTAACAGTAGTGCCTTTTTAGTATCTACTACTGCTTTTGCTGCCTTAACTACTACCTTTTTTACTACTTCTTTTACCTCTATCTTAGCTGCTTTTTCCTTTACTATAATAATTAACTTTATAGTAGTAGAGTAAGTATTTAGATCTATAGCTACCTTACTTTTCTTTTACTTCTTTATATAATCTAGCTAGGCCTTAAGGGACTATATCCTCTTACTGTTCTCTACTAAGGTAATATTTATATTATTTAGCTGTTTTCTTACTTTTATAAAGAGGAGCCTCTAAGTACTGTAATCTTACTCCTTATTACCCTCCTAAGGGTCCTATAGACTTTAGTATCTCCTTAAGTCTCTTAACTTTTAAGAGGTTTAGACTATAAACTATTAAGGTGTACTAGGCTTTATTAGGAATTTATTATTCTATATAGGCGCCTTTAGAGTATTAGTACTATTATTTAGGTTAATAAACTTACTTATTAGAGGTCTAGCTATATTAATAGGCTATAATCCTATTACTAACTAGCTTACTTAAATATTTCTTAGTGTAAAGGTATCTATAGATACCTTAAAGTAATAGTAAAGAAATTTCTACTTCTTAATAGGTATAGCACTAAGGTCTAAAGATATATCTATAACCTCTCTTCTATATACTTACTTTAAAGATAAGAATACTACTATATTAAGAAACTAAGTAATATAGCTAGTATAAAGTAGTTAATAAAGTAAGTAAATATCTTACTAAAAGTATTTTTATATAAAGTTATTTAGAATATAGCTCTTATACCTATTTATAATAAGAAGGACTTTAGACTTATACTTCTTAGCCTCCTTTATAGTAGTAAGAATAAAAATAGTCTTTAGCTAGTTAAGACTAATCTTATTAGATATCTATTTATTCTTTAATAATATAAATTACTATTTACTAAAAAATAAAAGCTTAAGAGGAAACTACTATTATTATATAGTAGCCCCTTTAAAGATAACTAGAAGAAGAAGTCTATTACTATCTATAGAGATACACTTAAGAATACTTATCTAAGTGTACCCCTTAGAGACTTAAATATATATAGTTCTTTTACTAGACTTACCTAATACTAAAGACTACTAAGCCTTCTCTTTAGTAATCCTAGTCTTATTTATATTCTATTAAAGGTATTATAGGATATCCTTAATAACAGGGAGTATAAGTAGATAAAAAAGCTCTTTAATCCTCTCCTTAGTAACGTACTTAATTCTCTTAGAGCTAATCTTCCTGGCCTTAAGGGTCTTTATAGCTAGATTTCTCTATAAGAATCCTTTTATCTACTTCCTCCCTAATAAGTATAAATTACTACTAGCCTTAAGGACTCTTTAGGCTATCTCCTTAAGTTATAAATAACTTAGTGTAAAGCTAAGGGCTTCTTAGGCTAGTGCCTAATTAGTAAGGCGTCTTTCTTAAAGTTAACTAAGGCGCTAATAGTCTGCTTTAGCCTTATAAATTAAGGTTATACTATAAAGGTAGTAATATAGTGTAGTGTAAGGGATACCCTATTAGTAAGAGGCTTTATAATAGCTGCTACTAGTAAGAACTTTATTAATTACCTACTATAAGGTCTCCTAGGTATAAGTAACTATTCTAAATTATTTAGTACTTTTAAAAGAATTAATTTGATTTTTTGTTATTAGGATATTTTGGTTTAAAAAAGGTAGTTAATTCCTATTCCTTAAAATAAGGGGTAAAAAAGCTAATGTTGCTACATGGCCCGTCTTTACAGGTGGCCCGAGTTATAGGGTGGGGTCTTACGACCAATGCTGTAACGGTAATGAAAATGCGCTGCAAAAGACGGTGCTTACTGTATCGAACCGTACGCAGTGTCAATGGCTGCTACTGCCGCAACGTCATTCAGAGAGAATACAGGATTACATACTATCAGCAGATACATTTGGCTTTACCAGTCACCTCTTTACAATGCTATAATAGGTTGATGCGCCCGATTTAACTATTTAAACATTTGCCCTGCGTAACGAAGATTCAATACACTCGGGTTCGTCGCTAATATTGTTACAAATAATTCAAGATATAGAGACTGTTGCTCATAGGGCCTGATCGGCAAAACCGATATCAGGGCGATATCGCCCGTACTCTAAGATAAAAGTTTATAGGGTTAGGGTTAACGAGAGTTCAATACAAGGTCAGAGGTTAATTTAATAAATGTACTGCCAGCGCCTGCCCACTATTGCCAGCGCCCGGCTGCCAGCGCCTTTCTACTATTACCCACTGTCGCTAGCAATAGTAGATAACAGTAGGTAGGCGCTAGCAGCCAGGCGCTGGTAATAGTGGCTAGCAGTAGTAGGCAACAGTAGGCAGGCAACCTGCTATATTAGTCCTTTTCTAAAGTTCAACCTAAGTCTAGAGCCCAGTAACAATTTGTATAGGGAAAGCAGGGGATTTAGTAGATTTCTAGCAAAAAAGGTCACAGTACGTAGCCTATTCTAATAGCTTTAGAGTTCTGTAATGTAGAACTAAAATCATCATGTATCTTCCTGTTTTTAGCCTAGTGCGGCACAATTTGAGTTTTTTGGTACTTGTGGCTGGTGCTTGGTCCGTGATATCGGTCCTTATTCAAAGTGTCAAATAATATCGGCGGTGCCGATCAGGCCCTTAGACGCAGACACTATACTATATATCACTGTCACAATCTCTCACAAGCTTAAGCACACAGCTAATATGGGTCATACTAAAAGGTGAAGAGAAGCTTGATTGTTTGTAAAAGGGTTCCTATGAGTGAGGGCCCATTGAAATACGAGTGCCAAGGTTGGTCAGGTGACATTGCACCTGACGTGGCTGATACCACGCGCCACACCGGCATGAGCCTTCTGTGATATAATCCTATTGGCTTCTACAGGTATCTTCTCCTTCATTTAGCTATTATACATCTACCTAGTTCACTTACCTTTGCTAAGTAGTGCGACTTGGTAGCTTTAGATTAACATCCTTCACATGCTTCAGTAACTATTTTCGAGATCTAAGCTTCCAGGGCCGCCTGGTTTGAACACATGTGCACACTAGGTAATAATGTTACCTGCAGCGGTGCAGTGTGCCAAGAGATAGTAAGGTTACAGCGCTCAGCAGATCGACCGCCACAGCCTATCGCATCGTACAAGTTAACGCCTAAAGGGAGCGAGACAGACCGCCTTCTTCATTTGATTGGCTTTCAAAGTCTTTAGTGCAGCTCACTGGGTACCGATAACGCTTTCTTGATCTTGGCAAAGATGCCGTTACAGTGGGATAAGAGGTGGAGAAATCAATTACCGAGAAAGGTCTTCTCTTCATACTTTTACCGTTTCTTGACCTTCCTTATAGAGCTTGCACTTCAATTGATACCGCCTGGCGTTGCCTTCCTGATACGCTCTCGGACCCGTTTGCCAACATGTTACCATCGCCCAGGACTACAATGATCGTACTACCTTCCTAGAAAACGAGCCAAGTAAATCAGAGACCTACAAGTGTCAAGCCACTCGTCGGCGTATCAACTCCCCTTCTGCTTTCATTTCATCATTTCCTGGCCCGCTAAAACAGCCATGATTGCTATGATTAGCTGCTGACAGAGTGCGCATTGCACTGTATATGACCGTTGATAGCTAGCCGATTACAAACTTGACCTTGATTGAAAGCTAGGACCTTATTTCAACCGTAGCTAATGTTGACTTGACACACATTGCTGCTGTTGCTAGCTGCCGGAGACCTGGCATACATTTCACTGCTGGCTTGCCCGAATGGGATATACCGCCGGTCAGAATTCTAAGTAATAGACCTGGCCTAGCATTTTGCCAAGAACACGGGAAAGCAGGACGTGATTTATCAGCCGCGATATGCCGGCCGGGAGTCGCAGCACCTTATCTATTGACAGCTCCTATCGGATGTCTGCCCCTTCTCCTACTCCTTCCTACTTAGCTCTATGCCACTGAATCGCGGGGTAGGGAGCCTCAAAGGTGCCTTTTCAGGACTGCCCTCCAGATACTGCTGTCACATTACATAGCAGATGTCTTTTGAAGTGCCTTTTGAGGAAGGCAGTACTGAGGCTATGAGATGCGGTTGTAACATCACAAGGTGAATTAAGGCGTATTAGGAAGGAGGAACTACGCAACGACTGGTGCATGCCATGTCTCCATCTTGGACAGCGACAACATGAGCATGATGCTAGCCAAGATGCTAAGTATAAATAAGTGTGCACATTCTCAACCAGTCCATCATTTCACAACCAGCAGCATCACAGCCTCAATTTACTTCCCATCTTTTACTCAGAACAATAAGACCGCTTTCTCTCACGTGTTGTCTTCTGAAAGCCAGACATGGAGCTCTCTAGATACCTTGCCCTCCTGGCAGTCATCCTGCCCGTTGCCTACGGTGCTCCGACGCAGGCTGCGACCAGCCTCCACCCTAAGATCCTGGCCGCCATGAAGCGTGACCTTGGACTGGACGCCGAGGCTGCCACTGCTCGCGTTGCCTTCGAGCACGGTGCTACCAACATCATCGAACAGCTGCGAACCTCGACGGGCGACTCGTTCGCCGGTGCTTGGATCTCCGCGGACGGCACCACTCTTAATGTCGGTGTCACTGATGAAGCCCTGGCCGCCGAGGTGACCGCTGCCGGCGCTACGCCGGCCATCATGTCCAATAGCCTCTCCAAGCTCGAACAGGCTAAGCTGGCCATTGACAACTTGGATATCAACCAATCCGAGGCCCGCGACACGAGCTCGGCTGACTCTGGAATCGCATCGTACTACGTTGATGTTGCTTCCAACAAGCTCATCCTGGAGGCACTCGCCGGTAGTGTTGCTCATGCCGAGTCGCTGGCCACCCAAGTCGGACTCGCCGCATCCGACTTCGAGGTGCGAACTGTTGAGGAGATGCCGACCACCTTTGCGACAATCCGTGGCGGCGACGCCTACTACATCAACCGATCGGCCAGATGCTCTATTGGCTTCTCGGTCACGACGGGCTTTGTTTCAGCTGGCCATTGCGGTACCGTAGGTTCCTCTGCCACCACCAGCAGCGGTGCGGCGCTCGGAAGCTTTGCGGGCTCGGTCTTTCCAGGCAGCGCCGATATGTCCTTCATCCGCAGTAGCAGTGGAAACACTCTCAGTGGCACCATTAACGGCTACAGCCGGGGCACCCTGCCTGTGTCGGGCAGCACCGTAGCCGGCGTTGGATCCAGCATCTGCCGCTCCGGCTCCACCACCGGTGTCTACTGCGGCACGGTCGGGGCCCTCGGCGCGACGGTCAACTACGCCGAAGGACGTGTCACAGGCCTCACTCGCACCAGTGCGTGCGCCGAGCCTGGTGACTCTGGCGGCTCTTTTTACTCCGGCGCTCAAGCCCAGGGTGTCACATCCGGAGGCTCGGGTAACTGCAGATCCGGCGGCACGACCTACTTCCAACCGGTCAATGAGATCCTTTCGACCTATGGACTTACGCTGGTCAGGTCTTAATCAGCTAGTCGCTACGGCTGTCAGTACTGCCCAAGCTGTGTTACAATTTCTCCCAAAGTACATACGACGTTTAAATTTTACCTTTGGATCTCTTCATGTATTTAGTCTCTACTAGGAAATGCACCTCCATTACATACTGCGTCCCCATTCATCCAATTTCATCCGTGGCTCCTCGCTTGAAGAGTGCTGTTGAAACTTGCACAACTGTTTCAAGTACCACTCCGGGCCAGGCTGTAGAGGACGTAGATCACTGTTCCCGCTGGTATAAACTACAACGCACGAGGATATCAGTCGGTAAATATGGCGCTTGAAGCCATGGAGATAAACAGGTTAAGTCAGTCCATGATGCCTGAAAGGCAAAGTCCAAGCGCGGTGGTGCTCATGTGGATACAGACCTGGCGCATGAACCACGAAAAGAGTTACCGCTTGAGCCTATGGAAAATAGGCTGTGGATATGAATACGTACAATGCCGAGGCAAAGGGCGGCATGATGCGACGCAATGGAAAGACTCAAGGGGCTTAGTCGTCTCCCCACTCTCAGGCTTCAGTACATCGTGACAGCAGCTATTTCGGCTGAAAAACCAAACACCGCACGCGACAGACGATCCACACAATCGATCTACCAGACCTGTAGCCCCGTGTAGTAAAGAACCGATGACGACACTGGTGCCGTGGCCATTGCCGACTGGCTTCACGCTCCTCTCCTTGTTCTGGCCCGAGGCGTAGTAGGCCCGCCATGTCACTCGTCGCTCTCGGTTGATGTCGCAGCTGCCACGATTTATGCCTTGCAAATCAACAAGTGAGTGTAAATCTAAGCTGGCTGTAACATCAAGAGGCGCAATTGCTTGACCCTTAGGCTGAGGGCAGGCTTGTGCAGTTCCAGATCCACCGTCAACTTCAAGTTTAAGCGATGCCGGCCTCGACATTGCTCTCGCCTCTATATCGCCCCCGCAGCTGCTAATGGATCCAGTACGAGTCACCCAGCGGGGCTTGGATCTTCCCAGGCTCTTCCTGAATGTCCCACATGAACCCTTGCCAGCTCTCATACCCAGGAAATGTGAGTATCCTCTGTTTCTTGCCTTTGCATGGAAAACGCTATTGGGAAATCGTTAATCATCGCAGGTGCGTGTGAATGGCTTAGGTGCCTTCCATATCTAGCATATGAGCAGAGGGATTTCAATGGAGGAGTAATGACTTCCAATTGTCGCACGTGAACTGGGCCTAGCTAGATAGATTGGGCGGCTTACGTCTCCTCATGTGATAGCCTTAGCTGATATGTTGCGGCGAAAGACGCATGTATGACTACTAGAAAGAGGAAATGATACGCATCGGTTATACTCGGGGCGAGATTTGACTAATGGCAGCTTGTCCATTCGGGTGCTATAATAAGCCGCACCGTTTGGTCATTTTGGAGTAAAGTAGTTGTCCTAATATTAAGAATCTATGTATGGACCGGAGGTATGGTAGAAATACCCATCCCAAGCGGTCTGTGCGGGTGGTTCGCCACAGCTGTGGCGGCCTCCACTGGTATTAGCTACACGAAGCTATTCCAGCTTCACGACCGGTGCTTTTGTTCGTGATGCAATTCTTAACATGAGCGATGTTCCCTACTAAAAGTCACCAGTTTTCATTTTCCTAGAAGTTTACCAGAGTAAGGCTACCCAACACCTTTGATGCCTATGGAGTCAAATTCTCTCACCTGCATCACATTGTGGAACCTACTCTGGTTCTGTCGCTCGAAGCCTCTTCTGTTGTCCTTCAAGATATAATCAGCTTCAGTCCCGTTAATGCCACATACGACCATACCTATTGGAAAACTCGGGATCCCGTCCGCTCTCCCTTAGATAAGCCAATGAGGGCCGGATTAGTAGTTGGGTCGGTGACGACCAGCGAATACCTGGTGTTGTATGTCCTTTTTATGCAGCTGTTTGCTATACACCGCTAGTCTACAGAGGCACGCACCTCCGTAGGAATAGCAGATAGACCATTTAGTACTAAGCCGCCGCCGGCCTGAAGAGGAATAAAACAATTGTAACTTTAAATTGTTTACTTTAACCGCTTGCTGAACTGCTACATTGCCTGCCTCGCACTAAAAATTCATTTTTCCCCGTTTCCCGCTCCTGAGTAGAAGTGCCAGCCGCCCACCATGCTATGACGCCAATGCCGGTAAGAATTGAGACGCCAGCCGCCGCAAGCCAGCCGCCTCGAGAACCGGCCAGTGAGTGATACCAACTCTGCCACGACTCTGACCCCTTTGAAAACGCCTCCCCATCTCCTTCGCCCCCAAGAAGTAGGCGCCGTTCATCCTGCTCCTCTTCATCCCGCGGCCGTGGCCTGAGTTCCGATTCAGGGTTATGGGCCCGTGCCTGACCCGCGGCCAAGGGAAGGGAACGCCTGGCCCGATACTCCTGCTTAATGTTATTAATAGAGATTTCGGTGGTCCCTGGCCCTGTTCGGGCCGAGGAGTGCATTACCTGTAGACATTCCATTACGTCTCCCACGACGTGGTGGGCTGTCTGCGGAGCAACGCCTTGGGAGATGAGTGACCCGAAGAGGTGATTCGGGTGAAGCGAGTGCAGCTCAACGCCATTCCAGTGACAGACGAAACTGACAGGCCCGTTCGGAAGCACCACGTTACGGTTCTCGAGGTGCCGGAGAAGCCATTGTCGCACACCAGCTGAAGTTGCATGCTCGCTCGGGACGGTGTTTCTGGCATCTTTCAGATGCAGACTGGACCCGTCATCAACGCGTGTCATAGTTCTTGATCTTGCTTTCTGTCAGGATGCAGCATCTCTCTCCTAGGTTTGTTTGATGAGTGTTCGTTTTTCGGTGCCTCCCTGTGATGTGATTGCCATCTGGAAAAGTTGTTTTATCTCTCAATTTGGATGCCGCCACGTCAATGCATTCATGCCCAATGGCCGACGTGCCAGGTGGATATTTCTCAAGCACAAGATGTGGATAGTTGCCAAAAGTCATCTCACCGCCAGATTCAAACGAGCCTCTCACAGGCTTCCGTCAGACCCAGTGTTCCAGCCAATAAGCAAGTAAACCACTATTTCTACAGCCTGCACCCTGGGCTGCACATAATTTTATTGGCGCTGAGGTTCCTACAGTGATGTTTCTCTTTTAATCATTCGAAGGCAACTGATCAATATCCTCCTCTCTCTGCCGGAGAATCATTGCAGATGTCATTTGTTCCACACGTAAGACAAGCACAAAGGAACAAGCCATTACAAGGTCAAAAGACCAATACGACGAATAAAGTGCTACATACAGTTATAACACGTATTGATTCAGTTAAATTATTCTATGCAAGTGTTACTAGAAACCTAGGGTCATGTAGCCAGGGATTTACCCACTGGTAGTCACTGACTTTTAGAGTTCAAAGAAAGGTTAATAGCTGTTTGTAGGCAACTTCAAAGTCAGCACAAGGGAAGCAATACTTAGCGGGTACACCCTTCTGACTATTTCCTAGTCTATAAATATCTACAGTAATCCAAAGAGACAATGCTTGAAGTAGGCTTTAGCTGGGAACCGTTTAGATATAGTGGCTGGTAACCTAAGCGGCATTTGCCGCTCCCTGCTTGGCGCCATCTACTGTGCCCTTTACAATGGCCCCCCCTACGTTTGCTGCGCCTTCTGCTCCACCAGCTATACCACCTGCAGTCTCTTTAGCAACCTTTGCTGTACCCTTTGCTGCGTCCTTAACACCATCTCCAACTTTGTCTGCAGCGTCTTTAACACCATCTCCGACTTTGTCTGCAGCGTCTTTGACATCATGTCCAGCACTCCTTCCAATGTCCTTAAACCCCTCTCCAATTGACTTGAATCCGTCTTTAATGCTTGGGTTGGGTGTGCGACTGTCGAGCACGGTGCCTGTCAAACCAGTGACACTCATTTCCAGAGGTGCTAAGGGTCATGTGTCAGTTTATCCTGTAAGCTTAAATGGTATTTGGTAAAGGTTTACCTGCAGCAGTGAGGCTAGCAGCTAGCACAATAAGAACAACTTCAGTGATACGCATTATAAAGTGGAGTCAGTTGTAACAAGGAAGACGTAAAAGATCATCAAGACTTGGTCTTAGTCAAAAAGAGGTCTAAAGTACTGTTGAAAAAACATCAATGTTGGTGAAAATAGAGGGGAGTAGAGTAGCAGACTATAGGAGAAAGTACTAAATAGGTAGAGTTAGTGTACAAGGCTATGTTCTTCAAGAGAATTGATCAGAGCACAGAGAAAATAGACTTATTATTATACTTAGTTAATCTAGTTAGTCTTTTACATTTGCATTGTTTTAAGGAATGAGTTATGTACACCGCGAGACAGACATGAAACAGACAGTAGCCGACAATCAAACGTATTTCTACTAGATGGCACCGCTGATCAATTCTATTAAACAAAGCTAGATCTTGACTGCATGAGGAGCTTCGCTCGGCCTTCGCCGAATCGATTGTAAATTTTCAGGAGGAGAGTTTCAGGTTGATTCATGAGTGTTCGAGTCAAGATTAATCGGCTTATGCCGAATTTTCTCTACAACGTGCCTCACTCAACCGATAAGAGATTAGAGCTCCAGGCTCCAGTCTGGTCTGTGCCGCGATGCCGAGACTGTCGTTCATCCGAACTTAAACTCAGTACCATATTAAAGAGATGCGGGGCAAATAGTACCGGTACAGGTAGTACTAGGCTACTAGCAATGACAAACAGAGAGACCATATTTTAACCACTCAGCTTGGTCTTCCACTACTGCTTACATATTGAAGCTATCTAGGGATAAATAACTAGCATATGGAACGCGACAAGCCCTGCCGATTGATCCTGACAGGTCACAATACAGCTAGAGAATGTGCAAGTTTTGCTTCTTCCCAAGTGGCATACCGCGGACATAGCATTAAGAGGGAGATACCTAAATTAAGGAAGGGGTATTTTTTAACACTATTACCCAGGGGTGTTAGTCATTATTTCGCTGCGATAAAAACCCCTTGCTTACGCAAGGGGTGAAAAAATA